GTCAAACTAATCGGGATTCGGGAAACTAATTGCAGGACAATAAGTATGACTATGTTCCATGTATTTGTCCGTTGATATCTTGTAGAACAGAGGAGTATATGATCACTTATCTAAGGACAGTCACTGACTGGGTCAGAGTTCGACAGCGGCTTTTGGAAGCTACGATTGCTAATCGGATCTTGAAGTTACATTGGTAGTTATAGTTATTAGACTTATCCAAGTGGGAGACAGTTGGATTTGGTGTCTAAGCCCATAACTATATTTGGTATGTACTTGACCCGATTGTAGCATGGTCCTTTTGGGTTGCCTTCACCAGTGTAATTTGATAGGATGGACTTTTGAGAATAAGATTATTGGTGATTTATTAATATATTATAAGTATAATATATTAATTGAGAAATCATATAATTTAATTAGTATTTGTCAAGAATTAATTTGGAATTAATTTTGTGATCAAAAGTGACTAATTAAATCTAAGGGGTTGATTATGTAAATCATCCATTCTTATAGTGTGGGCCAAAGATCCATTAGGGTGGGCTAAGTGGTTCATGGATAGTCCATGGAGCTTTGACCCATGGAGCCTAAGGGATATGGAAGGTCATGGTACATTAGGGTTTCATGGATGAAACCATAGCCTTAAGAAACACTATAAAATCCTCCCCTTTGGTGTCAAAATCGGCTACACATGTACACAAGAGCATAGAACCAATTTTTGAAGCTTCAAGTCTTATTCTCTTAAGCCTCTTTTGCATATTGGTGTTTGTGACACATTAGAGGCACAACACTTGAGGTGCTCAAGCTTCCAAGGTCAAGAACTACACAAGAGGTAAGTTATCTAACTAGTTGTTACTTTGAATTGTATGCTAGTTAAATTATATGCTTTGGAAATTTGAAAATGCATGTATAATTAGAGAAAACATAGTTCCGAAGCATCTAGGGTTGCATGTGCACCATAGGAGTGTTATAGTGCTTAAAACCCAACAATAACCATCCAAGCACATAAAGAATCATACACAATATTATATGCTCCAGTCCTAAGGCCTCGTCTATCTTGGGCCCCGCCCCTGCTCTACTAATGATGAGATATGGAACCCCGTCCATACTCAGCTCGTGAGGAGATACGGGACCTCGCCCACGCTCACCTCCTTACCAGGCACATACAAGTATCACGAAGACAACAAGTATAACTAAACATGCTTACATACATCGGGTATCACCCAGTCCTAAGGCCTCGCCTATCATGGGCCCCGCCCCCTGCTCTGCTAATGGTGAGATATGGAACCCCGTCCACACTCAGCTAGTGATGAGATACGGGCCCCCGCCTACACTCACCTCCCTACCAGGCTCATACAAGTATCACACAGACAACAAGTATACTAGACATGTACATAGACATCGGGTACCACCCGAAATAGAACCGTAGTCCGGAACATACAATCGTACATACATACATACATATACGGGTCGGCAATGGTGCCTTAGACCCGTTCACACAAAGGGAAACTCACCTCGCACTGCTGAATCTCACAAATAATCCTCTGGCTGCTAGCTGGCAGGTCCCCGAACTGCTGATCTCTCGACTCCCCGAGCTATCATTACCAAAATAACACTTAGTCCAAAAGCCAATAATCCTCCTTAGGGTAAAATGACCATTTTACCCCTGATCTAATTTGGTCCAAACCTATGGCCCAAAACCATAATATGAAAGGCCCAATACGTGGTGAACTTCCCAAGCCCACTAGTGGCCCACTAATGGTCTAATTTGCTAAATTAGGCCCAACCCCTCTTATGGGCCTTACCCTAAAGCCCAAACATAATCTTAGCCCAAAATATCTGACTTCTGATGGCCCACTAAGGCCCAAAGTAGCCAAGTCTAAAGAATGGCCTAAACCGAGGCCCACTAACTCAATACCCACTCTGACTGAGTATGTTGGGCGTACTCAGCTGTACGCAGGGCGTATTGGGCTCGTGAACTGTACGATGCGCTTACCCGCTTGTAAGCTCAGCGTACTCCCCTGTTAAGCTTTTTTTGCTATTAAGCACTTAATGCTTCCAGTCAACGGTCCAAATTACAGATCTGAGTTCCTCTTAACGTCTAAATCCATAAAGTCACGGACTTGGTGACTTTGCATATCCCACATAAGCTCAAACTCCAAAAATGGTAATATACTTCCATGAAAATGATCTTAACTCTTGCATGAACCCATTAAGACCTTAAAGATGACAACTTTCTGTCTTAGGGACTCATTTAGCACTGAGAGCGGCAACTCTAAGCCTAGGAATCAGATTTGAACCATAAAGCTCCATCCTTGGGACTAAAAAGGTCCAAAAACTCAACATAATAGATCGAAGCATTTAAGAGGCAAGTTTAAGACTTTATACCCTCAATATGGTCTGAAATGAGGCAACAATCTCGAATCTACAACTTCTCCTTTGAAGCACCACCTTGCTTTACTCTTTACTTGCATGGAAAATTGATCAACAACACCAAAATGCTCTCTAATGGCCTTCTAAGCTCCAAGAACACTCAAAGAAGGATTAGGGTTTCGTGGTGGCTATCTAAGGGTGAAATAGAGGCTGATATTTAGGGCATTATGTTCTTTATATAGTGCTCAACCCTAAAATTAGGGTTTAGGAACCCTGAACGTACGCTGGGCGTACGCCTCCAACACCCGCGTCCACTTACTCCTCTACGCTGGGCGTACCCTAGCTTACGTTGGGCGTACTTTCGCGCCTACCACCTTGCATGCATGGTACGTTCTTCCCACTTTTCTCCATTAGGGACCAAATTTTGCCAATAACTTCAAAGTGCTATAACTTCTTCGTTCTAAGTCCATTTCCGACGAACTTTATATCAATGAAAAGGTGGCAAGAAGCCCCATGCTCCTAGCTACACCCCTAAGCTTAAAAGCCTTCCGAATAAAACCCGAGACCCATAAAAGACCGAATCATTATATTATGCTTATGCGCTTGGCTCCGAAGCCACAACCGAACACTTTCCAAAACCGGGTGTTACATCAGTGGTGCTGGTCGAGACTCTTCTTGACCCATGAGAATGGAAAAATCATCTCTAACCACTTGTATTACAGGAACATGAGGACCTTCTTTCACTGACCTCCATATTTCTTCACCTTTTTCTTTACCAAGAAAAAATCTCTACATTCTAACTTTCCAATGATCATACTCTTCAACAACTAGCAATGTGGCACGCGATGGGCAACCCATGCTATGTGTTATTTGCATTGAATACATTTGTTTAGATAGATTAGAAGCAACCATTGAAGTTAAGATATTAGAGTTGAAGTGGTATATAGAAGAACTTTTATGCTGAATATAGAAATGATTGAGATACCAAGGTAATTTACTACGAACTATAATCTATTCTTATGGATTCAGAGGACAACCACTTAGGCTCTGATACAAATTATGAGAGCAAGGATCTACGCGGACAAGGTTTAAGAACTCAAACCTTGAATTAACTTAAGATCAATGTCTTCTTATAATTAATATCAAGTCAAGTCTGGTAAACCAGTGTTGTCTCAAAATTAAGATAATCAACAAAGTGCTCAAATAAGAAATGATAATAATAAGTATGAATAATGTAAAGTGATTTAAGAACAAGAAGAATGTAAAATAATGATTGATTGAATGATTCTTGATATAAGTGAAAAAGGATCACAACTGTTGCTTGCATACATCCACACCTTTCTAGTAAGGTTGACAACACCTTAAATAGATAGGGACTCACTAAATACAAATATTAGAAAAAGTGTGCATGGACTGAGAGACATCTGAAGATCAACAGAATGACACAGTCGTTGCTGTTGATCTTGTTTATTGTACTATACTAAAAAACAATAAGAATGGTACAAAATAGTGCTTACAGTAATAAATGCATTACAGACACAAAATACTTCAACACAAAGATGCATCTCACACATGTCTTCACTTCAGAATAGCTTTATTGTGGACATGATCTTGACCTTGGACAGATGCTACCTGTGATTGCATAAGGATCACTTTTCATGTATCAACGTAATCGAGTCTTATTCCTGTTGGTTCTCAAGTTAGATTTAAGATATGTTGGTATTTTGCGTCTTGGGTTCGATCAAAAGAGAGGAACTCTATGTTGGGTTCTTAATTTTGATAAGATGGAAAGACCTAAGAAGCCGAAAAAACACGAAGGTATGATTTGTTCTATTAAGTCCTTAAAGCTGCATAAATTGTTTGTACTAGATCTTGGTGTTACGAGTCCATTGATCAGAAAATATTGTTGCTTCTGTTTTCCTGATTTGGTCTTTGATTAGGCTCATAATCCATTATGTTCTTGCTATGAATTCATTAAAGATATACAACCTCATCACATTGCCTTACACTTAACAAGACTAATTTATTCTAACACATATTTGTACACTAATAGTACACCAACATCCTACCATAGAATAGACATACACTACTAGAAAAACAGCCTTTTACGAAGCGCAATGTGCGTCGTAAAACGTTCAGACGACGTGCAAATGCGTGTCAAGGAAGGCCCTGTCATAACGAGAGACGACACGCTTTTGCGCGTCGTGTATAGACGACGCGTATTTATGACACGCATTTACGACGCACAATGCGTATCAAGGAAGGCCCTGTCATAAAGGAAGACGACTCGCATTTGTGTGTCGTAACCTTACGACACGCGTGTTTATGACACACAATGCGTATCAAGGAAGCCCATGTCATAAAGGAAGAAGACACACATTTTTGTGTGTCATAATTTTAAATGTTTTTAAAATTATACATTTTTGATAGATTTACTAATTTTCAAATTAAATAACACATTAAAAGTCTCATAATACAAAATAAAATACCATAAACAATAAAGATAATTCATTGCACTAATATGTCAAATACAAATAATCATTCCAATAATAAGTAAATGTAACACATTGCTAATATTGCATAATATTTATTATAGAAAACAAAACATGTACAACATTAAAAGAAACCCATAACTAAATTCTCCTTTGAAAATATCCTTTGTAAAAGAATAACCTAATGCAGGAACTTTGAGAGGCTTCCGGGCATGGAAGGAGGTTGCTAGAGCTGTCAGAACCTACACATGGCAAATAGGTAACTTAACATGCAATACAATACAAGATGATATGATAGAGCTGGTATGGCATCCAACTATATATATTTTTGTCTATTTTCTTTGCCAATGCCAATTAGGCCACTAAGCTTAGGAAAACGATTCTTTGGATCATTTTGTAAATAGGATTTTGAATATATGGTTAGCAAGTGCTGAATGCAGTGACATATTTAACATACAAATTATAAATTCAAAAGTCATTTCCATTATGTCTCTAAGTTTGTGTATTCATTTGATATAAATTATAAATTCAAAATCTCTCATAAATGATAAGATTTATGTATTATATAAAAATCAGGTCAAAACAGGAAGTGCGGTAGATAACATACCTGACTTGATTATTTCTTTTCCTTGAATATTAAAAATAAAGCTGCAATTCTATGTGATCAAACGTCTCTGCCTATTGTCCCAAATTTGAAATTCTTCAACTTCCAAGATCAAGACTCCAAAGCTGAAGATATCAGACTTGATAGAGAAAGTCCCTTCCATTGCATACTCAGGAGACATATAACCACTGATACAACAAAATCGATATGACATTTCAATAATTGACCATCGAAACATATAACTCAATTGTAATTTTGATATTGTAACTTTGTAACTAAGACAACTTACTATGTTCCAACCACCCTGTTAGTGATTGCCTCGGTCTCATTCTGCTTGAATATTCTTGCCATACCAAAATCAGAAATCTTCGGGTTCATACTCTCATCTAAAAGAATGTTGCTAGCTTTTAGATCTCGATGAATAACTCTCATTCGTTAGTACTTATGCAGGTATAACAACCCTTGAGCAATTCCTTCAATTATGTCGAATTGTTTACGCCAATCCAACTCTGTCTTTCTATTTTCATCTGCAAGACATCGAAAGAAAAGAGTCTTTTATGAATATCACAAGTAAAAGAATTGTATACATTTATGTTACAAACACTTCATACCAAAGAAGAAGAAATCTAAGCTTTTTTTGGGCATATATTCGTATATTAACATCTTTTCTTCACCATGAATGCAACAACCAAGAACCCGAACAAGATTTGTATGCTGGAGTTTAGCAATAAGTACTAGTTCATTCTTGAATTCCACGACCCCTTGCCCTGATGTTCTTGAAAGCTTTTTGATTGCAATTTCTCGTCCATCACTTAGTCTTTTTTTTTTTATAATTTCATGATATCTCTTTTTGTTAGATTAGAGGTACAAATGCAAAAACATAAAACATGCATCAAATTAGTTTAAACTAACATAACCTTGTAAACAGGTCCAAAACCACCTTGTCCGAGCTTATTCTCAACTGAGAAATCATCAGTGACAGCTTTCAGAAGCTGATGTATATCCTTGAAGCTGATGTATAAATAATAACAAGTCATTTCCTTTCCCACCATTGTTTTCAAGCTGATGTATATCCTTGAAGCTTTCAGAAGCTGTCAACTCCAGGAAATACTCATCTCTCTTCCGTCTCTCATATTCTGCGATCAGTATTAATGACTTAACAAAATAGGCAACTATATCTTACAAACAGAAGCTAGAATTATCATCATTTCTAAGTATATACCTTTTCGTTTATGCTTTCTCATCTTTTATACCATAAAATGCCAAAACATAGGAAAAAGAGAGGAATGACTACACCAATGAGTATCCATTCCCAATTCTTTCTCTTTTCTATTTTGGTACCTGCATATTGACTTGTTTAGATTCTAAAATGATCAGAAGGTAGCTAAAATCATTGGAAATTAACATTATTACCTGTACTTGGATTGATTGGATTTTGGTTGATCACATACTTTAAAGTAGAGTTATCACGAGGATTAACTAAAAAGTTATTACTTCCAGTCCATATAACACAGCCAGTTCCATTGATGCTACTACTATTAAACCCCACACAAGTGCAAACATTCCAACACTTAACAAAACAATCGCTAATACGTAAACTCGAGTTGTCATCAATAGCACTTCTTGTCAAATCATGAGCAAAATCTCCTTTCATTTCACTAAACTTATCATTCTCTCTTCTACACTGAGGCAAACTCGACTCCACACAACCATTATCAGAATCATACCCACAACAGAACTCAGGTGTCCAAACAGTAGAATTATCAATATCTGTAACTTGTCGTTTTGCTGATAAAATCCACATGGGTAAAGCAGCGATATTATTGGCCTCATAGCTAAAGTATCGTGCTTCGTTGGTGTATACAGAAGAGATATTATATCTATATTGGCTACTTGGGCCATTCAATGAAAACATATATTGAAATATTTGATTATTTAGACTACCACTAGTCCAGTAGGGTTGTCCTCGTCTTCGAATCATCAATCTTTGGGATGCTTCTTCAATGGGCTCCCAGCTCATAGTAAAAGCTCCCGAAGAAGGTATATCATTGCTCGGCCAAGAAGTCAAGGTCCAGTTCTTCCTTGTTGTCATGTCATACCCAAGTTTCATTCCAGGTAAAAGAACATTACTTGGATGATCAAAACTCTGCCAAGTTTGATTGTTGAAAATGAATCGGAAGCAGGACAAAATCTGACAGTGTAATCGGCATCAATACAGGTAACTATATGAGTCGACCCATAACCGGATACATTGAAGCTGCAAACTGTCCTACCCCAGATACGACCCGACCACCCAACCGGAGCTTGAAAAGAGCGTGTAGTACCCTTTGTTAGCTCGAATCCAGTATTGGAATCAGTCCAGCCATTGACTCCAGGCCAAACAGTGAACCTATAGTCATTTACAAAAGTAAAAGTAGTCCCCGAAGCTCCTACGAAGTTATACAAAATTGCATTTAGAACAAAATCTTATCTTGGCTTGTGGTGTGTATGTTTTGGATACAAAGGTACAGATTTACCAATAGATAAGAAGAAGAAAAGAAAGCCCAGAATTTGAGGAAACACTCCTAAATGAAATTGTGAAGATGATGATGAAGACGAAGATGATGGACCCATTCTTGAAGCCAAATAGTTCAGTATCGTTGCAGCTATGTAATGATCATAAATATGGAGCATGTAGCAAATCTAAAATGTGTGCAAAAAAATATGAATTACAAACAGCCTAAACAATATGACCATCACTGCTGTAGACGGTTTGAACTTACAAATGAAAAGACCGACTAAATGAAGGTAGAAGGAAGTAAATTGGTTTTTTATTTTTCTTTCACTGCCCCTGTTTCACTACAACTCGGGACAAAAACATAAAAATTAACGTATTCAGTGAAATTGTAATACGTCTTTACTGCCCCTGTTTTTTATTTTTCAGTGAAATTGTAGCAGGAAATAAATTGGTTTTTTATTTTACTTTCACTGCCCGTGCTGAGTAACTTCTTGTAATATGACTTTACATTCAGGTCCTGCTGAGTCACCAACCTACCATTATGTATGTAATCACAAAAATGGTGAAATGAGTCTTAAAATAAAGAAATATGTTTAAAAATTTTCATCACCTGTTGATCGAATTCAATGAAATTGTAAACAACATTAACTACAGTAGAACTTGCAAGACTCCCACGTCCCATTCCAGTCCTTTTCCACATTCTCTTCAAGATCTTTCAAATATTCCAGGTAAGAGGGGTTGATCTGTATTAGCTTTGAAGCCTATCATTTTTCAAAATTCCCATCGTCTTTAATCCTCTACAAAGTTTCTCAGCCTACACAACATCAAGTAATTATAAATAAAGTTGAATACATACAACCAGATCATACACTTCTCTCTGAAATCATAAAACATCATGAAATTAATTACAAAAATTATATAAGTAATAAGTTAAACTATGTGTGAGTTGTGACATTCTGATTGTTTCATGAATAAGGAATAACACTACCATTGGGCGCACCACCAACCACAGGGTTAAACCTGCGAACACATTAATTAGTATTTGTTAGACAAAAATACTAAATATAAAAAAAAGTATATGTGAATAAACTTATAAAAAGTAAATAAATAAAACTTATGCCATTCTCTGGGCACCTCTGATTCTGCACTCGTATTCAACCTTGGCTGATAAGATATTCTCGTAAGGAGATATCTTGGATTGCAGCATAGTTTGTATAAGAGCCTATTTATATTTTAAAGGGGAATGAATAATCTTAGTTGTGAATAAAAAATGATAAAAAAAAATAATAATTGTGGGAGTTTTTGAGATACCAGGCAACCTATGGAAGCAGATTGTCTCATGAGATTAAGCTCAGCTAATGATTTGACCCATCTTGCTTCATGGGTGTATATGGAGAGATCATGGAGTTTACCACTATATCCAGCTTTCTGGAATGCCTCTAACTCTTTATAAAGTTGGGATACCTGTCTTCACATTATGATATAACTTTGAACAATTTTTTATCATGTTTGGAAGGACCTTCAGTGAAACAAAATAAAAGTGAGTAAGTTAATGATGTTGGGTTTACAAGAATTCTTTTCCTACAACATGATTATAAGCAGAAAAATTCAAAGTTTAAAAGTCAACCAGTGGGGAAAAGTTCAAGCCTCATAGTTGTGTCTTTCATCTTTGACTCAACCTATCGACCACCAACATATAATCAGTTTTGCTTCCAAAAACATCACAAATCCCAAATTATAACTGATCAACTAAAAATACCGGAAATCAAATTGATGATATTACCTGGTCAAGGAGAAGAACGACAAGAAATACATAGAAAATAGATATAAATATGAATTGGGAAGTGAGAGAAAATTATGATTAGCAGGGTATGAAAATCATGATTACCAGGGTATGAAATACGATTAAAAACACCTACAGCCATTAACCCCTCAACAGCCCTCCTCACTTGTGTGCCTCTTTCGACATCCCCCATAACCCTCAAAACTTCATATTTATAAAGATCAATCAGTTATCCAACAAAGTCAAGTGTTTGAAAGGGCATCAAAATACACTTTTTGTTGTAATTTTTCTCTTAGGCATTTCATCATACAGTTGGCGAGCCTTAATTTGGAAAAAACTGAAATAGAAGAGATGAAATTTAGAAACAACCAACCTGTTCAACTGAAAATGAAAAGGATCGAAATTGATTAATGCGAATCGGTTCTCTTAGGCATTACATCATACAGTTCACCTGAATCGGTTCGATTAATACGATTGGTGGTGGTGGTATAGTGGGGCTTTATTGGTGGCGGTGGTGAACCAGAGAGAAGACGAAGGGTGGTGGGTGCCTGGGTGGTTGTCGAATAGTAGGGGGTAGAGAGAGAGAGAGAGAGAGAGAGAGAGAGAGAGAGAGAGAGACTTGTAGTTGGTCGTGTATTACCTACATCAAATCAAAATTGAGGGAATGTTGATTTCATAAGATGACTTTGAAATCACAATATGTATATGGATGTCCACAAATTTGTTGCTAAAACCTGGAGAATCGACCTAGGTTTTCCCTGACTTGTGTTCGAAAAACCATTTGTGGTGGGTAATGGAAGAGAGAGAGAGAGAGAGAGAGAGAGAGAGGGGGTTTGTTATAGATAGGACGGGGGCGGCGAACGAGATGTTTGATGATACTGATAAGAAGGAGATCGAGCAGAGATCCGATGAGAAGATTAACAAGTAGCGGAGAAGCGGATCGGAGACCAGAGAGGAGAAAAGAACAAGGCGGGTTTTCAAATTTTTTGGGATTTCATTTTCCCCCTGTCTGCTAAACGCGCGTTCATTGAAATTATAAAGCGACACTTACCGAGGACGCGCATTAAAATAAAGCGCCCTCCGTGTTTTTAATTTTTTTTCTTACAACACAAATTTAAGGGCACGCAATAATGCGTGACCTAAATCCTTAAATTTTTTGAAGAGATGACACTTTTTTAATGTCACTCTCTTTTGCGTAACATAAATCAATGAGTGTCGTGGTTTGCGCGTCGTAAAAAGGGTCTTTTTCTTGTAGTGATACAATGTCATATATAATATAGTGGAAAACTTATCTCTTATGATACAATAGTCAATAACCAAACTATCTGTTTACATGCCCCCATAATACTCCATTTTATAGATTCATTGATACTTATAACCACAAATGGCTTTACTTATACTCCACTAATTATAAGCAATAAAATGATATTAATATTTAATCTATTTGGCTTATTTATTATGCAGCTCTACCAGCTCATTATTCCACATTGCAATAACCTGCTATAATGTATAACATTAATCATACCAATTCACATCAATTTTTAACCTTTCGTAACCTTACAAGTTCTAAACCCAATATCATAAATATCATAATATTATTATCTATCACGAAATTAACGTAATATAATAATAAACATACATCTAGATAACATATGTCTAGAAAATATGTGTTTAGTTAGTGAGGACTAACTAACATTCTGGTCTCTAGTTCCGCGTTGCATTCTAATTCATCACTAGTTCAAACCTATTTGGAAAATATATCAAGTTCATTAGAACTTTTCTTAACTCACCATCGTATCAACCACAATGATCAATTACTTGATCACAATCTAGACTCAGTAACTACTTGTTACAAAACTAGTATAATTTCCATATATAATCACATGACGACTTAACCCCATAAGTCGGTAACCCAATCGAAAATTCTAGGTAAATTAGGGTGTCTAACCCTTACCATCCACATTAACATTTAACTAATCTCAAGGTTCGTAATGACATCGTATTAAGAAACCTAATAACACTCGGTGTCCAACAACCCACTACAAAATACTTATGTAAACATAATTACGTAATAAAGAGATTAAAATACCTCGACTCATCTCGTAGCCCAACCCTCGTACCCCCGTACACTAGTATGAATCTGTGGTAATAAGTTGCTGGGAACACCTCCTGAGCATCTCCCTCGATCGTATATTCCAAAACTCCTCAAATGACACAAACACAAACTATATATACTGCTCAAAAAGCGCATTGCGGCACCCTTAAGTTCGCGTCGTGAATTGGTATTTTTTCCAAGATCTCGACACGTGTCTCATTCTTCCACCATGTGTCCTTCTGCAGTCGACATGTGTCTCGTGATTCTGCTCGCCTTCGTGCTGCATAAGACAACCTACGCCACGTTGTGCCCGAGACTTGACCGTTTGACTTTGACTTTCCTTTAATTTCTCGAAATAGGAATGTACTTTTATCTCAACTTCAAACGACCATAACTGTCTCATACAAAATCTGATTTTGACGATCTTTATTTCAACGTAATCATCTTAGATTAATATATCGCTTTTTTTCATTAATCCCTACCTATTCTAACATAGTAATACGTATTATAAAAACTAGGTATTATATTATGGTACAACTCGTTGTAGGTATAACGTCACTCAATGCCGATTAACAAAGAAGAAACCAATCAATTCTTTTATTTTATTATTTTTTCTTTTTTAGAATGGTGTGGTGGGTATTTCCTAGTCTAAATGGCATGGTGTTAAGGAACATGTGGCATGTGAGGTGGCAATGTTTTTGTGTTATAACACCGACTCATACCCACCAACCTAACTATTTTCGAAGACTACATTCAACATAAAATTAACACGAACCCACCCTCAGTAATGTAGTGTAAATGAGTTTGCCCACAAAAATACACTAGTAGTGTCATAGTGTGTAACAACGACAACTAGATAACGGAAACACAAGCTCAAATTAAAGGCTTAAAAAACGATATCATGTACAAAAAACAAAAATGAGGTTAGTACAATGTCTATTTCTATGATACTCCATAATGAACTATGTGGTTGATCCGACTATATAGGCTCCCGGACCAAACCATCGCTTCCGCGTTTCAGCCTATGAAATATAAGCCAAGCTTTCCTTCTGCAAGAAAGGAGAAAAAGATAGTCGTGTAGGGAGGTGTAATTCCGAAGGTACATGAGCTAAGGCTAGTTTACCTCGAACAAAAACAATTACACCTATGTATTATCGTTATAACCCATAGCTTAATTTAGGATCAATTAGTTATGACCGATGACACATCCTAAGTATAGATTTTTGTACCTTCGGGTA